GATGAAAGACAAATACTCTATGATCTCACCTATGAGAGGAACCTAATGAGCAAAACAAACAAACCAGCCAAACAGAACCAGAGGCATGGAAACAGGAACACACTGACAGGGACCAGAGGGGAGGGGAGGATAAGGGACGAAAGAAGGGGAAGGGTCTAGTTAAAGAACAAGTGTAAATGACCCATGGACATGGACAGCAGGGTGGCGATCGACTATGGGAGTGGGGGCTGGCAGGGACAGGGGAGAGCAATGGGGGAAAACTGGGACAATTACAATAAACAACAATAAAAGAAGAATTGTGTTGACACACTTTTGAGAAGAAAATAACTGGAATAAGACAGATTTATTCTATTCCCTGTACACTTTTAGAATAAACTGCAGGTGTAGCAAAGATATATGCTACTATTTAGATATCTGCTAATATTTTTAAAGATTTTTTTGCATCTGTCATCCCAAATAAGACTCGAGCATAATTCTGTTTCCCTTCTTTATTTCTTTTTGAGTACTTTCTTAATACATTCAAGTTTCACTTATGCAGGATTAATAATATGCGTTAGGAAAATTTATGTTTCCATGGTAAAGAATAGTGTAAGTAAAATTGGAACTATGTATTCTTTCAAAGTAAGAGAGAACTCAGTTATAAAATAATCATGCCCTTATCCTTTTAAGGGCATGCAGATTTTCATTACTTTTCTAATCTTTTCTTTGTTGTCTATCAAGTTTTTCTCCTTTTCTTGAATAAATCCTGGCAACTTTTATTTTGCTAGAATATGATTCATTTCCTCAAGGTTTTCAAATTTCTTGCAACAGCATTACTTGTAGCTTTTATAATACCTTTTTTTTCTGATTTATTCTGTGTCTTTGGTCCTGTATCCCTTCTCATTTCTTGTATAACATTGCTTTCTCTGTTCCTTATCAAACCTTATAGAAAGTTCATCTATTTTGTAATTATGTTCAAAAGACCTGCCATAAAAGAAGTATTTGTTTATCCTTCTTATTTATATTCACTTAATGAGTTTTAGCTTTTATATTTACAATTTGTACTATATTCTTTTATTTTACTTTGAACTCTGTTCTTTCATAGCAAAGGCATTTATAGTTATTAATGTTCATCTGGATACAGCTTTTGCTCTGTTCCAAAGGTATTAGTCTGATATTTTCTAAAGTTCTTGGCTATGATTTTCCAGGGAGTTTTTATTTCTTTGGACCAAGCATTATCTAAATATTTGGTAATTAATTTTCAGGTGATTAAGATTTATTGATCACATTTCAAATTTTTCTTTCTAATTTTATTTGCTCAATATCAAAAGAAATGCCCTATAAAATCTCTACTTGAATATTTTTGTTAAAGTATTATTTGAGGTCAAATAATTTTTAATGTTTTATAGACATTAAAAAGATTATTTTAGTTAATATACATATAATTTTTATTTATCTATTAATTAAATTTTTATTGCTATATTCAATTTTTCTATGTTCTCATTTATTTTTTTGTTTGTAAGTTGCATTGCTTTAAAGACTTTTCTATTCTTACAAACTTTAATTACCCTAGCAAAAAACTATCTACTATCTACTTAGAATTCTTCAGGTGACCCTTCAAATTATCTTATTTTTTTTTCCTGCTTTCAAATAACCCTGGCTTTTAACTGAGAAGCAAAAAAAAGAAAAAAGAGAGAGAGAGAAAGGAATATACTACAGAATAGCATCGTATCAGTGGTCTCTGTGAGACTGTCCTATGCTGGTTTCTTTACTCAGGAATAATTAGGGGTTTTTTCCTTCAGTTTACGTATAAAACCTTCTACAAGCTTCCTTACTGTCCTTTCTGATCAATGATAAAATATAGAGTATTCATATGTAGATACTTGCATATCCAGTCATATCGTGTATTCTTCAACAAAAACTGTTTCCTTTTCAAAAAAACTATGCCACTTTCCTTAAATTATATATTAAACAATTTAATAGTGATTTTTTAAATTTGGTAATCATCTTTTTCTCGGTAATAAAAATTCTACCATGCTTCATTAAGATTAAATGTTTAAAATAATATATTATTTATAATAATCACAAAAAATGACAATATCAGATACATTCATATCAAACCAAAAATTAGAAACCTCTTGAAAATATTAAAAAAGCACATGTAAAACTAGAAGCCTCTCCCTTAGCATACTGTAAATGATCTTCTAAAATCCAACATTACTAATTGATGATCTCAGACTTTTTATGCAGACTTATTAGAACTTTTTGGTTCCGACTTTTATTGGCGTACAAGGTCACTACAATTTGAGTAGCAGTAAGTAATGTTAGAATCTGATACAACTTCTTTTTAATCTAAGGTAAAGAATTTGAACTGATCATAATGAGGTATGACAACCATATTTGACTAATCTACAAAGAAGAATATGTTATTGTGATAGTAATGAGACAAGCCACCCAAATAATTAGTAACAAATGAGACAGATTGCTTTGGAAGTTTTCCAAGAGATAAAGTGCTTCTGGTGCTTTGCTTCAAAAACACGGCAGACCTAACTTCATTAATTCCCGTGGGTAGAGGAGAATTTGCTTTTCTATCCCCAAATTTTATATGCCAAAATCCAATCCACAACAGAAACAAAACTGCAGGACTGAGAAACTCAGATGTTTATGTTAAAATTATGAGTCTAGTAACCTGTGATGATCATCATCAAATTTGAGGGAGCTCTTTTGGTGTTTTCTCTACCTGTAAGTAACAATGGACATATTATAATCTTGCAATCTATAGAATCTTTTTATTTATAGCTTGTTTGATTCTTACAACAATCTCCATTTCACAGTGAGGAAATTGAAGTCATGAAATGTCAAACAATACACTCTTGCTCGAGCTGGGGTGCTCCCACAGGCCTACGACAAGGCGGTCTCTCTCTCCCCATCGCTGCCAGCAGAGCCACTGTGCGCCCTGCTCCGTTCCCACACGCTAACAGGAATAGCAACAACAGAGAATGAAGCCATCACACACACACCAAAAAAAATACCTTTGCCTAAACTTATTTATTTTGTTAATGCCTAACCTTTCTTAGGAGAAAATAGAACCAATGGCTTTCAAGTTAAAAGATCTCTTGAAGTACTAAATAATCAAACAGATGCTTCCTCCCATTAAATTGGAGAGTCCTGGTGAAGAGAATGGGAATTATCTCTGTATTGCAACCCTGTGCTGAGCTCATTCACAACTGAGGAGGGAACCTGGCCCTCCTTGTTCTATCTGAAAATATCACAAAGTCCTATTTGGTTTGAAAAATTAAGTAATCTGATGCCAAATTAAATTCTCTGCAGTAATTCTTGTTTCCTGCTGAAGTACCTTTAAATTCTAGTTCCTTATTCGTGTTGTCAAATACCATTTAAAAAGAGAAAACATAGCAAAACACACTACAACAAAACTGCTCCCAAAGCTCATTAATATTGTGTGGTCTATTTACCTCTGTTCTATTGTGTCAAAATTCCTGAATTTCACTGAGAAGGAAAGATAGATTGCTTTTGTCTCCTAATCTCTAGAAGAAGAGTTGAGATGTCAGTGGGAAAGTGCCTCTCTCCATCACCAGAGGAAGCTAATCAAGGAAAAATGTCTGCAGGTAGTAGATACATTAATCTCCCCCCGGAACACGGGGCTGTTATGAGGTGTAACTAATCGTATCGTTGGGACCCATCTCGGCCTGTAATAACATGCTCCACAATGACATCGGTGGTTGTAGGAGATGGATGTTGCATGTAAAGGAAAAAGTGCTGTTCAGCTGGAATATCTCTCTGGCCTGTGGACAACACAGTGACAGTCTGCAGTGAATGTGGACACTGTATTTCCACAGTAGCACCGTTGCCATATCCTGTCATCAGCATGTTTCTGAAACTGTCTCAAGCTGTCCTCATGTGGCAATTTCAGATCCACAGGCTCTTATAACAACTTAGTTATGAAAAATGACCTCTGTCAAGGTGTCTACTCAAGTGCATTTTAGTGCTGAGTCCAGATGCTCAGAAAATGTCTTTTGAAGAGACTCCTACAGTATTTCAGTGGCAAGGTTAATTCAGATCTTTCACAAACTTTTGGTTTCCAGAACAAGTTCTTCCTACATTTTTTATACAGAATAAGTGCGGTGTGATCTCTTGCTACCTGTTCATTGCAGACATTCTAATGAGCCAGTCACTTATCCACCGGTAGATAATTGGCAGAATGGAAAGAGCCACCAAATGGACTAGTCAGGCCTCGGGCTGGCCTCGGCTTGGGCCAGAAGCAGAATGCTTATGTTTTTCAAATGAGGGGATGACATTCTTTAAGGTCCCTTCTTACTTTAAAATTGTATGACTTTTTAAAAAGTTATTTATTCAAAACCTTTTTTATGCTTCTTTTCTACTAAACTGGAAAATCTTTAAGAGGCAAAAATGGAGGTTACAATTCTTAAATTACTTTTAAGTTTTAAATTTTAAAATAATTTTTAAAATATTTTCAATTTAAACAATTAAGTGTTTTTTATGAAGAAGCTACCTTTTGAAGTTTTTTAATTTTAAAAGGAAAATAACAGAAAAGACCAATAAAATGCATTTCAAAAGAATGAGTTAGATGTATGTACCATGTGCTTGGTATGCAATATTTACTGACACTGAGAATCAAAATTTACTCAGGATTTCCTGGTAGCAAAAGCAAAAGGGAATATAATGGACTGTACTTCTACTGCCTAATCTAATTTCAAAGGAGCTGCATACTTTTTTCCTAGAGAAATAAGCATTTCCTGGAAATACATGCTTGTAGACTGGTACACACCCTGAAGTTAACTGAAACATTTTCAAAGGGATACTGATATGTACTAGAGAAATACAGTTTAGTAAGAAACAAGCCACCCTGTATAAGCAATTTGTATGTTTATTAGAACAATATAGAGAGCAGTTACACGGCTGCCTGTGCTACGTTGTTCTTTTTCTCAGTGGTAAAGGCTATTGCCATATGTTTAATCAATGACTCTCATTTTGTTTTTCAGAATGAAAAATCCCCAGGACGATCTGCAAGTCGATCGAGTAATATTTCAAAAGTAGGTGAACTTTATATTCTTAATTGTTTATTGATTTTCATATTTTATAATTTTAAGCAAATATTTTATAATGTTTCACCTATATTCTTATCTGTGAACAATGCGCAAATATGACTTGTTAATGATTTTTAACTACAGTATTGCAAGCTTTTGCTGTGATGAAAGGATATAATTTTACACAACAAAATGCGTCAAGCTATTTTTTTCTTCTTCAGTGCTGTATGCAAAATTTTTTTTCATGGACAGATGCTCTAGATTTTTATATCACCTTAGAAACAAAAATTAAAGGCTAGTCTCTAAAATGAGGCAGTATCCGATGTATAGACTTGGTGCTTGGGGAGTGAGAAGTCATTTAGAGCCATGTGTCAAATTGGAAATTTATGACTTCCAAAAATATAATTCAGACAGAGATGGATTTACCATGAATAAAACTCCCATTGCAGGCCCACTCACTTGCCAACAGCCTTGAACTTAATTTTGTATATGTAATTTGTATGTTTTCCTTCAAGAGAGTCCCCAAAATAATAATAAACTTTAGCCACTACAGAACTTAAATCTACTTCCAGTTTAAGGACATTTTAAATTTTTTGTTTTGTTTTGGGAAATAGAAGACTTCATTACTCATTGAAAAAGCAGGCACCAAACTATCAGCATTTTCTTAAGCTGGTTTCTCAGAGCCAGTTCTTCCGAGACAAAGCCAAGCTGGTCAGGTGACACTTGCAAACACACAGGGGTGATTACAGGAGGAGAACCCTGAGTGTAGGAAACCCTAATATTTTTAACAGACAGTAAGCATGCCTGTCCACTGCTGCATAGGGAGACTATATCTCTCTGTTACGATGCTATCCACTGTACTAACATCCTTAAAGAGATGTACTAGAACAAAAGCAGTTAATGCTTCTTCTTGAAAGAAATGCAGAGATACAAGGGACACTCAGAGAATTGTAGCTCAGTACAGGGTACTGAACATTCTAATTACATTCAAATCTTGGTACCTTCATAGATATTTGAGAGGCAATGTGGCTTAGTGGCTGAGAGTACTAACTCTGGAGAGAGAGGATTTATGCAAGGTGCTTCTGACACAGGCTTTTTCTGTATGTAACCCTGAGACACTCACTTAAACTCCCTAAGACACCGTTTCCTCCTGTGTGACATGAGAGCAGTATCAGTCACCCGAAAAAGTTTTTACATGGCTGTAAATTAAAACAACACCTCTGGCATGTCTGTTACCTTAGTCACGTCAAAGCGAGCTTTGCCCACGGCTGCAGAACATTGTCTTTTTTCTGAACTTGAATGTTAATGTTGACCTAGAAACTTGTAAACAGTCCTTAACAACTGCTTGGTCACACCAAATATTGTTTCACTATCCAGGGGTGAAATTACATCTGCGTTTCCAAACTGCTATTGGAGTCTGACATAATGCAACTTGTTTATAATATTTTAGCCTTTTAATTATTTGTTCTATACGAAGTAATAAAGTCAGGAATGTAGTTTCCCTTCTGTGAGTTCTTCCAGACCCTGCTATGTATTAGTTGTGTCATTGTGTGGGAGGCAGTACATGAAAAAACGCATTCTGTTCAGAGAGAAATTAAAAGCTATCTTCTTAACCAGTCACTCTAATTGTACAACAGCAAAAACCAACTATCTCCCACCTCTGGGGATAAAAAAGATTTTAGAGTGCATACTTTTTATTTAAACCAATATAACTCTCCTTGTATTTATGTTCAGAATGACAGTTATGAATGCTAAATACATTGTTGAGTCCTCACTACTTTTTCATGAATTACTAAGTGATAAATTCTTCATTAAGACCAGGTATGAAATGGCAAAACCTAGCAATATTGTAATTCTTTTACTTTTAAAGTGTCAGAGAAGAAAACATTAAAATGGAACAAGGATGTTTTTCCTCTAATTTTGTCAAAATAATTTTTATGTCAAAAAAAAAGACTCTGAGCTTTTCAAGGATGTGGTAATCATTATGACAGAGTAGTTAAGAGCATGGTTTCCAGAGTAACTGTTCAGAGGGTTAACTTCCTTAGTAACATTTTCTGTAAAAGGAGAATATATAACAGTATCTACCTCTTGGAGTGATGCTTAGAACACTGGCCTTGTGTATTAGCTACTCTTATTATGGGGCTTTAAATATTTATATCTCAATAACAGCATCAAATAAGTCCTCATAGGTCTTTTCTGTAAGCAAGTGAATTTGAGACATGGGTTATAATGTATGCCTTGTTTTCTGACTGCCATAAGAATAAATAAGAGAATTGACAGGATTAAGTAAGATTTAGGATTAATATGTGAGTGATATGACATAATTTTATTGAAAGAAAAGGCACTGCCTATTTCTGTTTCTTTAGAAAGTGTGTATAAATTTCAGTAATGAAAATTCGTAGTACCCTCCACGCTGGCTGCCTTCCTCACCTTTGACCAAGTTTGGGCCATTTCCTATTCATTGCTATGGGAAAATCACCGGTCACGTGAAGGACTTGTCTAGAACAGAGAGCAGAAACGCTTTCCCCACTGTCAGCTCTGCTTTTCTGCTCATTTTTTATTGTTGTTGTTCCTTCCTGAATCAGCAGACTTTCTAATCATCAATATTTGTGGACTGTCTCTCATCAGGAATTTTAGTCTACACTGGAATCGATGGAGTAATGAAAAAATTCTTCCAAGTCCTCAGTGATCTTATAGTGCAGGAGTTAAAATATGACATATATATTACATATTATATATTACGTATGATATATATAAGCAAACTGTGTAACTTTTTATGCAGAAAAGATAACACAGAAGGCCTGAGATTCTTATTCTTAGAAAGACCCGCTGAAAGGTTGGCCCTTGGCTGGCATCTGAGCTTGTATTTCAGAAGCCGAGTATCACCCTAATTGATAAAAATGGTTCATGGTTTCTAAACTGTGTAGACTATATAGTTTGTCCTAAAGGCCTGCTTTCCTAGAGGAGTCTAGAATTTTGATATGTACCAGGAAGTGGGTACCTACATGCCCAGCTCCAATAAAAAACTTTAGGCATTGAGTCCCCAGTGAGTTTCCTGGGCAGATCCAGCACCTCACATTTCACTGCTGTGGGAATTAAGTCACAGTTCATTGCTGCAGGAATTAAGTGTATCCTTTGCAACTCCAGTGGGAGTCAACTTTTGGAAGGTTGAAAGTTTTCTCTGGGTCTCCCTTTCCTCATTTTCCTTTGTAGCCTTTCATCGTAATAAGTCATAGCTCTGTATGTGACTGTAAGTTCAGTCCTACGAGCTGTCTTGGAAAATCATTGAACCTGGGCAGGGTCACAGGAACCGTGGGTGTATTAGTCAAAACAGTGGAGACAGAAGGCTGTGAGAGTTCAGAGAATGGTCACTTCCATTTGGTGAAGACAGGATAACATTAGAGAAGGTGTGTTGGAAGGATGGTTTATAAGCAGGCACTTGAGGAATGGATGTGATTTGATCAACAGTCAGGAAAGTACATTTAAAGGGATATGCGTACAAGGCATAGAAACTAGAAAACATGGACTATAAGGAGAAAGGTACTTAAAATAATTTTTAGGGACCATGACATGGAACTTTGAAAATAGGACGCATTCTCCTTGGTCAAGTCATAGAAATGTTATCTAGTTTGGAGACATAAAGATGGGTTAAGAACACATCAAGATCCTTGAGACTTCAAAAAAATTTTTTTTCCTTCGGGGGGGTTTTCCTGTTTTTTTCAATATATTCAACTGCAATCATACTTTGTTTTACAGTCATTCCAACTTTTCATCTTTTATTAGTTTATATTTCTAGTTTGTTTTAGGACATGTAAGACAGGTAGACCTGTGTCTCTTATTTTTGTTATTCTAATAAGATTTGTGTGCCTTGGATATGTCAGAATTGACCAAAAAGCTACAGAGAAGCAATGTAGGTTTAAAACGAAACAGTGAATGTGTGAGTGTCCAAAGAACTTCAGTGTGTGCGTGGCAGCATTTATTTATCCATCACTTACTCTTTCTTTTTGAAAAACTGCTTTCGATATTCGTGCTTTATGCTTTTTAATACACTTATGACTCACAAATTGTCTCCTAAAGATACAAAATTAGCCAAATTTGGCCTTTCTTTTATTTTTCTTAGGTGAGGGATCATTATGTTCAACTAGCAACAGTGTATTATGTGTTTCACAAGAAAAACCTTTCAAAAGCAAACTGTCAAAAGGAACGAAAGCCTTGTACTTTCAATTCAAATCAGCATCTAGGATTTTCTTTTCAATAGAACACTTTATGCTTTTTCATCTATGTAGGAAGCAGCTCACAAAATCTAATCTACTTATGAAAGGAAATTCAAAGCCCGTCGCCTTAACAAAATGATATTTCAGTTAGTTTCCCTATTATATTCTCAAGACTTCATTTACTTGACAGAGGTTCATCTAAATTGTTCAGCTGGTCTAGAAACATCATGTAAAATATTAAGGTAAAGGTAGTGTATAGTGTATAAAATATTATTCCTAGAGCTTTCTCTTCTCTTGTCTGTGCACCCTAGTTTACTGAGCAATAAATGAAGATGTATGATATAGTCAATACAATATATTCAACCCACATTTATGTAAGGATGCACTATGAACAAGTCATTACATGAATCATAACATTTTAAGTAAGTAGGTGGTTTTCTTGGATCAAATACATACTTTGACTTTACTTCTGTAAATTTTCATCTCTTCCCATTTTGCCAGACTTGCCTTTAAGATTCCAAATGCTCTCCGGCAAGGTCAAGGTGAAAGCGTTCCCCAAATGTAAAATGCATTGGGAATTTTTTCAGCTTAATCTGAGCCAAGTATTTGCATCTCTGAGCAGGTGTTTAATGTTCTGATTTATTGAGAGATCATCTTGGTTTGCTTGTACAAGGGACCTATAAATCAGCCATACCCTCAGACTACATATCTTTAGAGGGTGAGTTTGATAGGTTGATAAAGTGAAATGGGATGTAGAGTTAAGAAACAACTAAAAATGAGGTGTACTAATTT